TGCACATGCTCCAACTTCCCTCTTCTGCAGAGTTAAGGAAGGGATTCTCACTAGTTTGGCTGCGCCGTTGCTGCTGATTAACGCTTCCTGATCCGTGTTCTGCAGGTGTACTGGAAGTTGCCATGAATGATTAAGCCTACGAGTCTTCGTTCCCTCGTAATAGAAGAATGCGGCCAACGTTCCAAATGTCCTTTTACTTGTGACTGTAATCACTTGTTACAAAACTTGTAGTGCAAACATAAATCAAGTTTAAGAAAAGGTGGTGTTATGAAACATCATGAATACTTATGTGCCAATTAAGTTTGCTTCGATCACAACAGATTTATGAACCTTATTATGCTTTGAGAGGAAAAAAATAAGTATCCTGAAATGGTATTCGTAGAGTTCCACGAGATTATTTCCAATTTGTAATCATAGTGGCATGTAGTTGAATAGAAACGAATGTCTTAATGTAGAGTTCATCTCTCTAATTTCTTGAAACAAAAAAAAATGCAATTGCACCGATCCTTGTAACCTTGATATTGTGTATGTATAATGGTAATAAATCTTGGATATAATCATCTTCAGAATGGATACTTAACTTTTGGGAATGTAATATCTTCAAATTAGAGTTTCCAATGGTGTTTTAAAATGGAGTTTCCCCTAAACTCGTAGAAAAACCCTTAGCTTTGTACTTTCCTTAAAGGAAGTTGTACTTCTTGAATCTTGACGTTGAAACATGACGCGAATGCTTCTGGAATCATTCAGAATCCACTAATCATTAATTACTAATGAGGATAAAGAAAACCAACTCTTTCTCTCAAAAGCAAAAAGAAGCTCAAGTGATGGCCCAACTCATAAAACAAAATTAGTCCTCAAATGACCATGTTCGAATGAAAGCTTCTGAGAAATCCTGAAGAGCCTATCGTTGACCCCTGGATCTTAAAACCAATTGAACTAGAATTCACTCGTCACGTCCCGCAAAGCTTGACTGTGAGAACAAGTACTGTCTCCTTTCGAATTTACTGTATCTGCACAAACTGGTTAGTTACAAAACATACAGGCAAAAGTATATAAAAAAAATGCACAAAGAGGGGGGGTCTTAAGGTCAAAATTAGGGTGCAACAATTGCAGTAACAACAGTTTCTACCCAAAACACCTTCTTCAATCCCGCACTTACCAACATGTACCTCACCCTTTCCAAAATGGCTCGATTAAACCTTTCAGCCAAACCGTTTTTTAGTGGGGAGTCCGTGCAGTAGTTTTGTTCCTTGCAATACTATACGCAGCACAATAGCCGTCAAAAGACTCATTGCAAAATTCAATACCATTTTCGGTCCTTAATCTCTTTACCTTCTTGCCACTTTGGTTTTCGACCAGAGTCTTCCAACTTTTAAAGTTTTCAAAAGTTTCATCCTTAATCTTCTGGATGAATACCCATAACTTTATGGAGTAATCATCAACTATGGATAGAAAATACTTTGCACCTGAGTGTGAAGGATTCCTTGCAAGTCCCAAAAGATCAGCATATATAATCAAGGGATCCATGTGTTCTTTGTTTACCTTTGTTAAACTTCATTCTACAGGATTTACCAAATACACAAGGTTCACAAAACTCCAATGTTTTACCTTATCACCATCCAACAGTTTTTGTTTCGATAATTCGACCAGACCTCTTTCACTGACATTGCTAAGTATCTTGTGTCATAGCTCAGTTTTCGACACAAGTTTTGTAGATGCGACATTCTTTGAACCACTTACAACCTCAGCCTATAGGGTATACAAGCCTTGTTTATTCACGCCTCCCAAGACTTCCTTCAACCTTTTCATTACCTTTAGGATGTTTTGCTCTCCTTTGAAAACATATCCTTTCTTGTCAAATTCACCAAGATAAATCAAATTCCTCTTAAGATTAGGTGCATACCTAACATCAGTCAATAACCTTATTGACTCATCATGGAGCTTGAATCACACAGATCCAATACCTGCAATTTGGCAAGCTTTGTTGTTTCCCAGCAACACTAATCCACCATCTTGATCACACAACTATTCAACACATCTTTGTTTGGAGTCATGTTCCAAGTACACCATAAATACATAATTCACTCCTTTCTAGAGTCACTACTTAAAACCACCAGGACATCAGATGATTCATAACCATCTTACACAATGGCTGCACCACCATTATCCTTTCCACCATGATTGTTCAGTCGGCCAGGGCATATTTTTCTTGTATAACCCTCATTCTTACAATGATAACACTTAATAGTATGAGCAATACCACCATAATAATGTTGTAGAACTTTACCATTCTTCTTCTCAAACCTACCATCTTTATTCAAGAATTTCCCCTTAACGGATAAATCTTTGCCAATAGAAGATTGCTTGTGCTCCTTTCGTGTGTTCAAATCCTTGGAGTACAAGGCAGATTGAACATCTTCATATGCCAACTGCTCTCTTTCATACAAGAGATTTTCTTTTGAAGTGAGCATGAGACTTAGGTAAAGAGCACAATATCAACAACGCTTGATCTTCATCATTAATCTTGACCTCAATCCTTTTCAAGATCAAGAATTAGCTAATTGAACATATACAGCTGCTCAACCAAGGCTTTATCTTCACTCATCTTAAATGAATACAAATCTTGCTTCAGGAAGAGACGATTGACCAATGATTTCGTCATGTACAAACCTTCAAGTTTCGTCCACACACCCGCTGCAATTTTCTTCTTTGAAACCTGTCAAAGAACCTTATCACCAAGGCTCAATACAATGGTACTGTGGGATTTTTCAACCATTGTTGTATTCTCCTTCTCCGATAGGGCATAATCCATCTTCTTCGATCCTTTCAACACTTCTAACAAACCCTGTTGAATAAGAAGGACTTGAATTTTCAAACCCCACAAACCGAAATCATTCACACTGGTGAATTTCTCAATCTCAGACTTTATTGACGGCATCTTCTCCTCCATGCTCACCGCACCAATTTGTTGTGAATTTATGTCGTCGACAACAAACCAAAATATAAGAAAATATTGAGTTTCTTGAACAAACACAAGCAGTCCTATTAGGTTTTACAAAAGGGAGAAAAGAAGGAAGAAAAAGAAAAAGAATTGGTTAAAACTGTTTTGCTATTCACTTACTCAATAAGGGTTCAAAGTTTACAAGTGAATACCAACAGTTAACCTCTCTCAACAACCTGAGAGAACTAGTCTATTTATAGATTACTAAGCTAACTTAGGATACAAGCTAACTTAACAATTAGGCTTAGAAGCAATGCCCAATTCGACATACTAACTTAAATTACAAGTTAATATATTTCGACATTATGCTCAAACAGACTTCGACTACAACATACACAACTCATGTCGAACCATGAAGCTACTCTTGTCGACACTAGAGTTAGATCTAAAATACCACAATCATAAATTGATTTTCATATACGCATATCCGAGTTTTTCAATAGCGGTTCAGTTAAGACGATTTGATCCGTGTCACTTCCGCTAGCCATTGATGTTTTCAATAAAAAAGTTTTTGTAAAGTAATTTTTTAACTTGAGATCTATTCACCCCCTTTAGATAAGTCTCCTTTGTCTAAAGTTGTGAGTTCTTTGGGTGCATGAGAAATGGATGCTTGGGTTTGGATTTTTAGGTGGAGACATACCTCCTTATCTAGAAGGAGGAGCTTCTTGAGTGTTTGCTTGACATTACCCATGGAGTTGTTAGTTGTGGTCAAATGAGGCATGGATGCGGAATCCAAACCAGATTAGGGGTTTCTCGGTAAGTTATGCTTATGATAACCTTTTGGCTTTGTATGAGGTAAGTGAAGATAAGTCTGAGAGGGTGATTCTAGGATTATTTAGGATTTAGAAGAGTTGGGCTTCGTCTAAAGTGGTGGTGTTCTCTTGGAAACTCATTCAGAATAGGTTACTGACTAGGAAAAATCTTCTGAGGTGCCGAATTTTGTCAAAGCCTAGTAGTGAAGTATGTGTGGTGTGTGTTGGACAGGTGGAGTTGATAAACCATCTTTTTGTTTTCTACGAGGTTGCTTCAGCCATATAGTGGGCTGGGTGGCTAGGGCCTCTGCCACACTCGATTAAAAGGTTTTGAATTGTTTCAAAGTTTTAGTCTTAGAAAACAAGTGCCTTTAGGGTCAATCTCGGTCTGGTATTATCTGGTATGAATTATTTAAAAAATTCATAATAGAGTTATTTTTGGTAGGGAAAGCTTGACAATCAGTAGATGTTTATAATTATTAGTTTCACTTGAAAACGGGATCCATTTAAGTGACTAGACGATTAAGAGTTTGTTAGATGGTCAATTGCCATCTATTTTTTATTTTGTGTAAGTGTTCATGCGTACTTTTCTGTAGTTTAATTTTTCAGAGATCTATTTTGGCCATAAAATTTCGACTATGTTTCACAAAAATTAATTTTGAATATTTTCTCTCTCTCTTGAAAGTTAGATATTAAAATTTTAACTTGTTATTTTTTGTGGGTGTCCGCCTGATATTCTTTGTTATTTTTATGCATTTATATTTTTTTATTCATTAATATATGATTTCCCTTATGCTATATTCCGTTGTATATTGGAATATTCAAGAATTTTGTAACCAAAAAGTGAATAATCTAGAATTTTGAAATGGATAAGAACTTGTAGTTAGCAACAAAAAGTTTATTTATAAAAAGTATAATATTTGTTAAGACAAAACCCACCGATATGAACGGGATATATAATTGAATAACATATGACGCGGATTCATGCTGTAGTAGCCATCGTATTATTATGACCCTAACTTCTAACTTACTCTCGAACCTACCTCAATTTAGTCAATAATAATCAAATTACCTCATTTTAAATTAACGACCAACAAGTTCTGCCCAAATAACTATTATATAGATATATCTGAAAACAGCTGTTAGATATCCGCGGCTATTGGAGATTTTCTCATCCTTCATTTTCCTTTGTATATAAACATATTCATTCTTCATTCTATTTTCCACACACAACAATAATCATAATCATGGGTACAACTTCTCGCTCCCGAGTTACTAGGTATTTGCCTGTTGGTTTCCGCAGAGAATTATCTAGGCAAAAACTGCAGCAATTTGCAGACAACAATCTTGTTGATGTAGAATTTGAGTTTCTTGACGATTGTGATGTGAATTTAGATAACAGTAGTTCAAGTTCCGATGACTTTCATTTAGATATCGAAGATGATGATGATGAATGTTCTCAGAAGGTTCATGGTGGTAGCAGCAACGTTGAAGAGAATAGAAATTTTTGGGATACTCAACTTCAGCTTTTGCAGGTAATTCACTATGTTTTAAATGTTGAGATCTGGAAATTAAAATTATGATTAAACTAATTTGGTTTTGATTTGGTGCAGACGAATGTATATAAAATAAGTGCGTTGGAATCAAGCATAAGGAAAGCAACGATAAAAGCGATTGAGGAAATAGATAGATCAGAAATAGAGTGCAGTTGTAGTAGACAGATCAAGGGTTCATCAGCAAGAGAATGCAGAAACTGTTTCATGAGACAAGTTTCTAGGTGCCTTCAAAATGCTGGTTTCAACAGTGCCATTTGTAATACTAAATGGACTAGCTCACATAATCTTCCATCAGGTAATTAATTAAACACAATTTTTTACAATTTAAGTAATTAATTAATCGTTAAGCTATTTTACCTTTTTTTATTTTTAAATTATTTTAAATTGTACCATTATCATAACTATGCAGGGGAACATACATTTTTGGATGTGATACATAGTACAAGCAACCAGAAATCAGATGTAAGGGTAATCATAGAACTAAACTTTCGATCACAATTTGAGATGGGAAAAGCAAGTGAGGATTATAACAATCTTGTGAGAAAACTGCCAGAAGTGTATGTAGGAAAAGTAGAGAGATTAAGCAACATAATAAAGATCATGTGTATGGCAGCTAAGAGATGTTTGAAGGAAAACAAGATGCACATGGGACCATGGAGGAAACATAAATACATGCAAGCTAAGTGGATGGGTCCATGTAAAAGGAACACTTCCACAAATTCACTTTCAATGGGGTATTCTCAGACGACTAGTCTAAAGCAGAAGAAAGTAAAGGCATCAATGTTAACAGAGGATTTGTTAGACATGATTCCTAATATGCATTGTAATGCTGTTGAAGTTGTGTAAATTGCTTTGTTGATTAAGATAGAAGTTTGATTTTTTCTATAGTGAGAAAGGTGTGAATTCAATGTTGTTTTTATAAGTATTTAAAATTTTTTATAGCAATAGCATAGGGATATTTGTATGTTGCTCAACAAGATCAAATAAGATATTTACATAATTTTTAGATTTGTTTTCTTGAAAAAAAAACACTTTTTATTGATTTGTTGGATCAATTTGGGGCCAAGGATGAACAATAAGATCATCATTCCAACTAGAATTTGAGTCTAAGGTGGCCATAGGGGTTATATAATGAGCAAAATGGTTAAGTTTTGAGGGTGTTGCTCTTTAAATTATATGGAGTTTTTCTTTACCATTGTGAAAAGTAATAATTGTTCTATTTTTAGACGAATTTTTTTTTCCACATTCATATGCATAAATTGATAAGTCATTTTTATTTTGCAATAATTTAATCAAAAAAATGTATCTTCATATCAATATTAGGTGAGTTCGAAGATACATCTATGTAAGAATCTTTAATTCAAAATTCAAGGAGTTTTACAAAGATGCATCTCCGGACGCGTTTATTTCATATCCGATTCTTCCCTCTTCCTTCTTCATTTGCTTCAAAGTCACTAAAATCTCGTTTGAACTCTTTTACTGCAAAGTCATTTCCAAATCTCATTGAAACAAGTTTATTGAGGTTCGTTTTTGAAGGTCACTCATTCCATTTTACTTCACTTGTTGCAAAGTCACTTACTTCATTCAAGTATTTCATCCACAACTCTAATTTGGTAAGTTTCTCACTTCATTTCTTTTTCTAAGTTTTGAATGATATTTTAGGTGACATAGATCATCTAAGATGCATTAGATAGCAGTGCCAAATATAGACATGCATCCCCGTTTAGTTGGAGTTTAGAGTATTAATGAGGTTTCTACCATTTTTGTAACTCATGAGTTTATCTAGAGATACATCTTCGGATTTTGTTTGAACTATTTTCGTAGATGTATCTCTGAATTTCGTCTGGCTGAATTTTGATATGATTTTCTGATTTTATGACTGGCATAATGGTTAAAAACAACTAGAACAAAATAAGGTGTGGTCGTGTGTCCCAACACGCGTTTGTATGACGTGAGAGGGTTAGGGAAAGGGTCATGAGGCCACGAGTTGATGCTATCTCATTTAATGATTCACAAGGTCGAGGTTCATAACCGTCTGCTTCTACTTTTCGAAGTTGCCTATCTCATTCATCTACATAAAGGGAAGCCCCCAAAGCTTATGAAGCCAACCAAGATGAACCCTACTGCTGATGTTGATACCCCTATAAATAGTTATCTAGGAGGTACATTTGACACCTCTTAGACATGTCTAAGAATGAGAGGTTTACTTATTTACTTTTGCTAGACATGTCTGAGAATGAAAGGTATATTTATTTACTTTTGCATTGCATCTATTTTATATTAGTTTAATGGATATTGATGGTGATATATTTATTTTTACAGGAGAGTCCACGTTTAAAACCTGTAAATCACTAAAGAAATATTTTGGAACTAGAATTTCCTAAAGATGATTGGTTCAAGAATGTTTTTCGTCACTCTAGGCATGTCGGTTTATATGTTGCACGTACACTACCATAAACCATAGCATTTGGGCGACATTTGCAAGAGGTGGCTGCACAAACATCATCTTTCCACCTTTCTCTTGGCGAGATTATCATCACCCTGGATGACGCATCATGCCTTCTAAATCTTCTCATAAGGGGAAATTATTCGAACATTGAAGGATCAATCAGGACGAAGCCATCGAGATGATGGTCACCCATTTGGGAGCTGACCCAATTGATGTCACAAATGAAGTATCTAACACCACATGCGTTCATGCTAGATTAAATTATTGAAAGACTTTTATAAAGACCACCTGCAGATGGGCGTGGATGGTGACGGTGATGATATGCAAGTTGAGTACCACCGAGAATATGCATTGAGGTGTTACTTCTTGTTCCTGGTTGTCACGTCCATGTTTGTGGGCCAGAGTGCAACGTACATCAATGTGGTTTACCTTAAATAATTTATTGACTTGACGACGATTCCCTAGTATAACTGGGGGGCTCCTGTTTTGTCTACCTGTACTCGAAGATGGGTAAATATTGTCTTTGGAAGGCAAAGCAGTTGATAGGAAGTTGTACGATGCTTACGATAATTTTTTGTTTACAATATTTTCATAACTCTTTTGTTACACTTGTTACTAATATTTTATCTCAACCATTTTCAGGGATGTTTCATCTCTCACTTTCCTTGCATTTCTGGCTGGAAACATGCGCCTGGCTTCATTGAGGATTATCCATGTGCTTACGGCTTTGCGCCGCTCAGAGGGAATCAGGCGCCAGATCCATTTCGGGTGTATCTTAGTCGTAATGTAGTAGATGACGTTGTCTTCTTCCCATATGACAGTCACTACAAGATGCATCAGATTGACGTTATTTCATTATACTTCGGTTGGCTGGCTTGTGGGTCAAGTATGATGTGTGTGTGTGCCCTAGAAAGTGATGCATCAGTTTGGATATTTGCAAGTTTTTCTGAGATACCTCTCAAAGTCTGCTCCTCTCACTGTCCACCGTAGAGATCTTGATGCCATAGTTAAGGATCTCGATAGTCATGTGATACTAGAGGAGTATCGCATGGTGCCAACTCTTGTACAATGGGCTTATCAGATGGCTACATCACATGGTCCTATATGGTGTCACATCCTATCATGACATCAGACGCTCTTGAAAGACCACCTAAGCCATCTAACTAGGAGATAATGGAGGATATGTATGACAACACCCAGGACGTGATGTCGATCCATCAGTATATTGTGGATATCGTGAGGTAGGGCATATAGTCTGTACTTTTTTAGGCAGGCATTCCCTAATTGGCCTTTGTAGAAAACATTATGGTCGAGGCACGAAATTCCTTGCAGTACAGGCGGGGGTGAAGCCAGGGTTTGACATACGTAGTAATTTATGTTTGTTTGTATTATTTTTATATTTTTGGAACAAATTGTTTATGATCGGGACATTTAATTTAATTAATGTATATCTAGTATATTTTAACCAATTAATATATGCCTTTTTTAATTTATGGCCTAAAATGACCAAAAATGTAAGTTGGTCTAAAAAAATGTCAAAGTTAGGATAATGTTGCTTCCTAGAAAGCATTCAGGGGGATTTCCGGAGATACATATCTAAAATATGCTCTATCATATGCAACAAATACGCTTCTAATAGCTTAAAATGACTTCAGGGGATTTTACGGAGATGCATCTCCAGATTCACCCCATAAACTTTATGAAGATTCATATCCATACCAGATTTTGACAAAAAAAATGAGTGTATGGCTGAGTTACGAGGGATGATAGTAAGGGCATTTTTGAGTTTTCAAAGGTGTGGAGTGCACCCCTTAGTATGGGATGAGTATTTCCCTAAGTTTTTTATAAATAAAACCTATTTGTCCCAAATGAAAGCCCAATAGGTTTTTTCAAGCATTCTCATCAACTCACCCTGGTGAGTTCTCTCTGCCTCCATTTTTCTCATTTAACACAACCAATAAATAATTTTTTTACTATATATCCCTATAGTTATCCCCCATCCCTATAATTTGTAAAATATCTATTTTGTTCTTTTCACATCTCAAATAATTTAACATTCAATATTTAATATCACACTTAAATTTTCTAAAATTGGTGAATTTGCACTTGTACATTAGTGTGTCGAATAACTTTGTTTAAAAAGTTATGGTACATACTTTCCCTTCAACAAATCAATTTATTTTAAATATTCCAGTGTGAAGATTTGTTCACCAGATAATTCATACCGTAGTCATTTGGTATTATAATTTATACCAGATAACTTGGTTACAAAATTTATGATTAATTTCATGTTTGTTCACTGAATAACTTACCTTTAAGTAATTCAATATGTTTGTTTTTACTTTTTAATTTTTTTTATTATGTTTCACAGATAGGGAGATCCCTTTATGGATATGTGATAAAAATGAGATATGTGTAGGTACAAGGAAGCAGATAGTCAAGGAAGAGGATAGTGAAACACAAAGTGCTACTAAAAAATATGGTTGTTCATTCGAATTCAAATCATCACCATCTAAAGATGGTTCAGGAAGAAAAATTAAAGTAAAATATGGACTTCACAACCATGATTTTCTTGATAGATTTGAAGGTCATATGTTCATTTATCATCTAAGTTCAGATGAGCAGCAACATGTTGTTGATTTGGGAAAGCGCCATGTTCCACCTAGACACATAGTATTGTCTTTGCAAAAGCTATATTTAGAGAATGTTACTCGGATCACCCAAATGTATCAATATAAGAGTAAATTACAAAAATATATTAGAGGTTATTGAACCGAGATATAACACATGTTTAAGTTGGTAGAGGATGCATATTATGTTTCTTGGAGTAGAAGAAGAGATGAATCAAGTGTTGTGAGATAATTCTTAGGCCTACCCTGATTCAGTCAAGTTGTTAAATATATTTCCTACTATGTTTATTATGTACAACACATACAATATGTATTTACTAAAAGTACATTACGTGAAAATAACTAGTGATTAAGGGTTGTCAGAGACTTTTAAGGTTTGTTGTAGGGTTTAAAGCTAGTTCATGTAGGGAGGTGAGAAACTATGTATTCATGATATTTGTGTAAATGAGATTGGACTCCATCACCCTTGGGGTTGAGGTATTTATAGGAGTTCCCATGTCTGGATCTTAAATTTCTAGGAAGTAACAAACGCTTCTAATAGCGGGGTAATTGGGTAGTTAATCCCCTATCATTCATGAGAGTGTGGTTAACTTCCCCCTAAATCCTTCTCTGCACCGTTGTAGACTTGGGACATGTCATTGTTGCTTGAAAACATGTGATGTCACATGCAAGTATACATGTACGTTTAAAGTAGCAAGTGATAGAATAATAAGGAATCCCAATATACAGGGAGTGGAAAATAACTTAATTGGATTTTGTAAAAATAT